GCCAGCTCCCACATGGTCTAGCGGTTAGGATTCCTGGTTTTCACCCAGGCGGCCCGGGTTCAACTCCTGGTGTGGGAACAAGTTGACATTTTATGGTGTTCCCTACCCTCTGTTTGTTGGCCTGAAACTGCAAAAGCCACTAGTCCACGCCAGGACTCTGGCTGCGATTCTCCTGAAACAAGGAAACAAAAAGGACTGCAAAGAAGAAACACGTGGCTGAGACAAGGGAAAATTCACAGCACCAGGGAGATTTTCTTAATTAATAGGCAGCAGGTTTAAAACAAACACAAGGCAGAATTTCTTCACACAGCGCACAGTCCACCTGTGGAACTCCTTGCCAGAGGATGTTGTGGAGATGAGGACTTTAACTGGGTTTAGAAGAGAGCTAGATAAATTCATGGAGGTTCGGTCCATCAGTGGCTATTAGCAAGGATGGGTAGGGAGGTGTCCTTGGCCTCTGTTTGTCAGAGGCTGGGAATGGGTGACAAGGGAGGGATCACTGGAAGATTCCCTGTTCTGTACATTCCCTCTGGGTCATCTTGTAATGGCCTTGGTCAGCAGACAGGATTCTGGGCTAGATGGACCTTTTGTTTGACCCAGTCTGGTGGTTCTTATGACTGGTGAAGCACACACATAAGAACAGCCATTAGCCCAGTGTCCTGTCTGCAGACAGCGGCCAATATCAGCTGCCCCTGAGGGAGTGACCAGAACGGGGAAACATCAAGGCTGTGTCTACATTGGCACCCTTTTCCAGAAAAGGGATGCTAATGAGACAAGTCGGAATTGCAAATGCCGCGAGGGATTTAAATATGCATTTGCATGAACATGGCTGCCGCTTTTTTCCGGATCAGGGCTTTGCCGGAGAAAAGCACCAGTCTAGACGGGATCTTTCGGAAAATAAAGCCTTTTCTGGAAGATCCCTTATTCCTGATTTTAAGAGCCTGGAGCCGAGCCCCCCCGCTACAGCTGCTCCGGAGTTGCTGAGTTCACACACAAACCAGGAGTCACTGCGTTCAGACACCAAACCAGGAGTCACTGCGTTCACAGACAAACCAGGAGTCGCTGCGTTCAGACACCAAACCAGGAGTCACTGCGTTCACATACAAACCAGGAGTCGCTGAGTTCAGACACCAAACCAGGAGTCGCTGCGTTCAGACACCAAACCAGGAGTCACTGCGTTCACAGACAAACCAGGAGTCGCTGTGTTCAGACGCCAAACCAGGAGTCACTGTGTTCACACTCACAAACCAGGAGTCGCTGTGTTCACATTCACAAACCAGGAGTCGCTGCATTCACACACATGAAACAAGAGTTGCTGCGGTCACATACACACACACCAGGGGTGTGTCTAAACTACATGGCTCCATCGATAGAGCCATGTAGATTAGGCTGATCGGCAAAGGGGAATGAAACCGCGATTTAAATAATCGCAGCTTCATTTAAATTTACATGGCTGCCGCGCTGAGCCGACAAACAGCTCATCAGCTGTTTGTCGGCTCGCGCGCTAGTCTGGATGTTCCCCCTGTCGACCTCGTAGGATGAGGTTTACCGGGGAGGTCGATAAAAGGCTTTCATGTCGGCAGGGGAGCGTCCAGACTAGCGTGCTGCACTACACTGCACCCGTCGCTCGAAACAGCCTGTTTTGAAATTTGGGGCTGTCTGCGCAGCACTGATTCCGAAATAAATCGCGGTTCCGAAATGCCCCTTGCTCCTCGTGGAACGGGGTTTGCGGGGATGTTGGCGGAGCGAGCCCGTGATATGTCAAAATAACGGGCGTGCTCCGGAGACGTGGAATAGCTATTTCGGGATCCCTCTGGTGGAGCGGGCAATCATTTTCACAAGGGGGCCACTTAATGTTTGGTAGGTAGTCACGGGCCAGCTCCACCCTTGGAAGGAGTGGAGTCTGGGGCAGAGGAAGTGGGGGTGGGGACTAGACTCCCCCCAGAGTTATCTGGGGCTGGAGGCTTTGAATTACAAACACAGCAAAGAGTTCGCAGCTCCCGCCCCTGCTGCTATTGCATTCCCTGGGAGCCACTTAAGGTTGCTTTAAAGGGATCATGGCTCTGGCCCCTTCCTGGATCCTGCTGCCATAGCCACTGCCTGGAAACCTGGTGGCACAGGCAGCAAGGTATAAATAGAAAGCAGCCAGATGCAGTCAGCAGGCCAGATCGAAGTGTTAGGTGGGCTGCATCTGGCCCTAGGGCTGCATCTGGCCCAGCCCTTTCTTGGACCATCAAGTGGCATAGTTCTGAAGCTCTT